GCCCAACCTTCCTTCCGAGGAGTGGCTGGTGGGTTTGAACTGCCAGCCGTCTGGTTAGCAGGCAACTGTCTTAGCCACTATGCTACCAGAGCTCCTAAGAACTGCCTCATAGGGTTTTCAAAAGTATAATCTTTATAGAAGCATACTACTACATCTTGCTTTTGGGAGATGGCTAGTGGGTTTGAACCACTAACTTTTTCAGTTAACAGCCAAGTGCTTTACCCACCACACTACTAGGGTTCCATGCCCTTGCCTAAAGTCCCTGGAAGTGAGGGTGGTGGGTGGGAGGTGAATCAGTCTAAGCTGGGAATTACTAGTCTATGTTGTCTTTTCTATATTTTTTCCATGTATGAATTGTTTCTTCTTGGGCATAAGTCCAGTGGTATAATCTGAAGTGCTCAGAAATTGTTCATTGTTGTATACATTCTTAATATTATTAACATATTTCATTTATATAAGACTTTAAAATTTACCAAGTACTTCTATCCACATTAGCCGCACATAGCTTAATGCATGACAATGAACTCTTTATAAGAAACTGGAAGAAAGAAGATTATTTCTGGAGACTGTCCCTGTTTTTTTTTTTTTTTTAGTGTTCTTGGAATCCTGCATGTTTGAGAAAAGAGGCCACAACATGAGGAGGATGTGTTTAAGACAAGTCAGGTCAGGCATTGTGTAAATGAAATGTGGATCAGATGATTATTCGTCTTGAAATGATACCTCTGTGGGGTAAAGAATTTAGCTTTACCCAAAGTATAGTGGCCTTTGTCCTTGGTTCCTGAGATATAGACCTTAGAGTAATTGCAGTGCTTTGGTCTGGGACTTCCAGGCCACACCTGGGGATTTGTGCAAGTTATGCTTGGCCAGACCAGAAAAAAACTCTCTTGAGAGGTCCATATCAACTAGCCCCAGGAGGCATGGTTTAACCAATCATGTAGGACTGGTCAATAAGAGCCTGAAACATGAAATCTCAGAGAGCTTCCTGGTCAGCAAAGGAGGGTGACATGCCCTCTCTGAGATGTGGGAGAAACATGTTGGTAACCTTCCCAGATCCCTCTGTGCATCTCTTTCTTATGATGATCCTGATTTATATACTTTCACTGCAATAAAACCAGCAGTTCTAAGTGTAATATTTTCCATGAGTATTGTGAGTCATTCTAGCAAATTAAAGGACCAAAGGACAAAATCCACTGTCATAGAGTTGATTGTGACTCATAGCAACCCTTTATGACGGAGTAGTCGGGTCCGACTCGATGGCACACAACAACAACAACAACAAATGATGGAGTAGAACTGTCCATAGGGTTTCTAAGGCTGTAAATCTTTATGGAAGCAGACAGCCTCATCTTCACCCCCCCCCCCAGAGCCCACAGAGCAGTTGGTGAGTTTGAATTGCTAATATTTTGGTTAGCAGTCAAATGCTTTAAGTACTGTACCACCAGAGCTCCCTAACCCAAGGACAGTGTCCTCTTAACTTGTAAGGTCTGACTTAGCCCAAGGAGCAAGAGTGTGAAAGTGCTGTGTGGCAGCTGTGGGAAAGTGAGGACTGGATTAATCTCTACTTTCTGGGAATCGACTTTAAACTGATTCTCATCTTTAAAACTATCATTGTTCCCCCTCTTCCTTTCAATCTCTCCTAGCATGATCCACACAGTCTAAAAGTGTACATAAGACCACATATCTACAAGTCCAAACCATTTCAGTGAAGGGGCTCGGGAAGCCACTTGAACTTCCTTAGCCCCCTCACTGAAATGGTCCTGAAAACTGTAATTTTCAGCCTAAACTTAACAGCTGCAGTTTTCTCATACTGCACTAACTGAAAACCAGATGGTATTTTTGATACAGAGAAAGGAATTTTCCCCCCATTCTCCCACCTACCCTCTACCCCTCTTACCTGTTTAAGGATTTCAGCAGCTGTTTCATGTGAACAATCAAATATCACATAGAACTCCTTGCCCTTCTTCATCTCCTTAAGTAGAGGCTTGGCATCTTTATTCCCAGAGGGCAGCTGGCGGATTTTGATTTTAATGTTATATCTGGAGGGAGCTTTGATGAGCTCCTGCAGACGAATTAGACCTAGAAAATGACATCCAATCATGCAGCAGAGACTATTCTGTTGAAAGAATATTGTTTATTGCCATTTACAGTCAAACTCATATCATTCCCAAAATGGATCAAGCAGCCACCCACCTAAAGGTTATATTATTGACTTCCCATTTGTCATCTCTTTCTGTGGCTGATGATGCTGATATTTTTCCTTTCCGGGTATAGGTAGCTTGGAAGCATCATTTTCCCAAGTGCATTTCAAATTTATTTAGAATGCAACTGTCCTCTCCAGCTGTTAGTCAGCACCTTAAATCTTTAACAAATCAAGTTTGCAACTATAAAACTCTTGTTAACAAAAAGTTCCTTGAAATTCCCAAAGGGGTCCCCGCAAAATGGTTAATACCTGCTCACTTAGGAAGCCAATAGAATACTAGAATTTCTTACAGCTCTGAACTTCCATAAGCCTTTCATCAAGTATTCATATGTAACATACTGTTTACCAGTTAATTAGTTTGGCTGCCTTATATAATCTTCCAGTTCCTGCCATACAAACTATTTTTAAATGGCTCATTACACTCTTTTTAATTATGATTGAACGTAGAATTGAAAAATCCTTACTTGATTAAAATGAAACAAAGCCATAGAATGCTTAGCGATGTTTTGAGATTATGATAATAGAAACGGAAACAAGATACTTTAAAAATTTGCTGTTGGCAATTGTAGGAAAGGGCATGCAGCTGACCAACTTGATGGAGAATGTTTGTTTCTGCATGTACAAGATCTACTGAGTTGTACCATTTTCAAATAGAAATGCTTTACTACGGCAAGCAAACAGCTCTATAAAGCGTCAGACTTATTTCCTCTAATACTAACTGGTGATTACTACACTGCATGATGCTGGCTCTCACTCAAGGGCTCCCATCACATTGGAAAATTGACTTTTTTTTTTTTTTTTTCCCTTTTATTGTAGTATGCAGTTCTGTGCCTTCAGGATTTGTTAGTTTCAAGTAATCAATAGGTTATATTAAACTTTATGAGTATGAGCTGTACAAGATACAATGTGAATGCCAGTTTCCTACAGACTTCATGCATGTCTTTTTCTTATTTTACTTATTTAGGGTTTCCCACCCCCCCCCCACTCCGGAAGCCACTTTTTTGTGGCTTAAATGAGACAATGTTTCTTTAATACCGTAGATATGTTTGTGCTAGACATTGAATTGGGTGTCTCAAAAATACGTATTGTAAATTCTAACTCCTGTATCTGCAGATGTTGAACACATTTCATTAGAGCTTCCAGGCTAAGATAGACTAGGAGAAAAAGCACGGCCACCTGCTTCTGAAAATCAGCCAGTGAGAACCCTATGGATCACAGTGGTCTGATCCCCAACCAATCACAGTGATTGTGCAAGACTAGACAGTATTTTGTTCTGTTGTCTATATCAGGATTCCTCAACCTTGATACTATTTATTGACTGACATTTTAGGCTGGATAGTTCATCTTGTGTGTGTGTGAGGGGGTGGTTTGTCCCATACATTAAAGGACGTTTGGTACCATCTCTACCTTTTATCCACTAGCTGCCAGTGGATTCTCATTTGGGAACATAGTTTTTCATTATGTCAGTGAGGCCATATCAGTGTAAGATGTGTTTTAAAACCAGTCACTTTTGAGATCTAAAAAGTAAATTCAACATTGAAAGACGCAAGCACAGATAAGGGAAGATGACACGTCACATGAAGATCACTAAGAAACCTATGAACAAGACCTGAAAAGAGACAAGGACCTTTCCCTTGAGCTGACAGAAAGAGAAAACCTTCCTCTATAGCCCACACCCTGACCTAGACTCCTAAATTGTGAGAAAATAAACCTCCATTTGTTAAAGCCACTCACTTGTGGTATTTCTTTATGTTATTGTTTGGCCTCCAGTTGATTCCAACTCCTAGTGACCCATAGGACAGAGCAGATCTGTCCCATAAGGTTTCCAAGGCTATAAATTTTTATGGAAACAGGTTACTACATCTTCGTACACAGGCAGCTGGCGGATTTGAACTGACCAGTGTTTAACCACTGTGCCACCAAGGGATAATGCTTCTTTAACACCATTTTTATTTTCGCTATAGCAGCACTAAGAACCTAAGAGTTTGGTTCTGATGTATAGTAAATTGTTAATTATACAGCTCTTTAGAATCCAAGGGGCAGGATGGAGCAGGGATTACAGAACCATGTTAAGACTCAGAGTTCATTTTCCTTTTTTTTTTTTTTTTTTTTAACACAAAACATTGGAATTGTTAGACTGTTTCAGATTAAATGTATCTCCTCAAAAAATGTGTTGGAATTCTAACCTTTATACCTATAGATGCAATCCTGTTCGGAGTTAGGGTTTTCTTTGTTATTGTATTTAGAACATACCTGAGTAGGGTGAATTCTAAATCTAATCACTTCTGAGTTATAAAAAAGAACACATTATACACAGAGATGTGCATATGTTGGAAGACAGACACCATGTGAAGATTATCTACAAGCCAAGGAGCCAAGGACTGTTTGCCTAGGATTACCTACAAAGAAGGAATTAACACAACCAAGACTCTGATTTGGATGTTTAACATCCAAATTTATAAGAAAATAAATTTAAGTTCTTTAAAGCCACACATTTGTGGTATTTCTGATATAACAACACTAGGTAACTAAGAAACTTTTCTGTATTCTTTCTTATCAAGCTCAAGCTAGTCAATGTGGTGGCTGAAGGCTCTCAAGTACCCATAATTCCAGAGTCACTTGTCCTGAGCTACTGATGAGAACTAAAAACAGGAGAAAACTGAGTACATGGAATTGTATATTTGCTGTTACTTGCATTGGTCTTCACAATAACTCTATGAGATAAGCCTTATTATCTTCATTTTACTAATAAGGAAACCGAGGCCCAGAGCAATTAAACGATTTATTCAGGGTTATAGAAGTCAGGATTAAAACTATGGTCTAGGAGAGAGCCCAGTGCCCAATCTCTCCACTTCAACATCCTGCCTTACAAATACAAGTTGTTGGTGCTGGGAACAGATAATAGCTCAGAAGGATTGTTTAATAAGATGGGGGAAAAAAATAGAAACATTCACCTTTCTTCTTTTCCCCAGGCAGTCTTTGTCTCTTTCCTGACTCTCCTAATGTCTTCCCACTTTGCAACCACATTTTTTTTTTTTCCACTTGATCATGGCCACAAGGGAGAGAGTTTAATGCAATCTTTAAATAAAATGGGGAAATAATTTTAAAAATGCATTCATAATCTGCACCAAACTTGCTGTTTTGTGCTTTACTGAATGGAATGTCAATTTTGAAGTCATTTCCCTATCATGATGGCTTATAGACACATTTATGGCATTTGAAGATCACACACTCATTCTCATTCCACTCATTCATTTCTACAGAAAGCGCTTTCTGGATACTCATTATATGGCAAGCTCCCTGCTCAGTGCTGGGAGTGAGAGAGTAACACATCTGGCTTCAAATAGCCATAGGAAGATATCACCCTATGGACTCCTGTGAGCTAGGGAGAGCAGCCAACACTAGATAATTTTATAGATTATGAGCTGAGGCTGACGGAGGCTGAAGTGATTTGCTCAAGATGATGTAGCTCATATAAGTGAGAGATCCAGGAATTAAAGCCAGTTCCACCTCCTGACTCCAAATCTAGGGGTTTTCCCACCAAGTTGATGCTCCCTAACCCCTTTGGATTTCAGAGCAACTAATTTACAAACTACAAAAAGAAAGAGAGAGAGAGAGAAAGCTAGGAAACTTTGGATTGGCATAAAGACATTAACCCTTTATTTTCTACAAGAGGCCATTATTAAACAATCTGCCCCCCACACTCTCCCAGAAAAGAACCCTGGTAGCAAAAAAAGCTAAGCATTTAGCTGTTAGTCGAAAAGCTGTTGTTGTTGTTGTTATGTGCCATCGAGTTGGCCCTGACTCATAGTGACCTCTCCTTGGGTTTCCGAGGCAGTATCACTACGGAAGTAGATTGCCCAAAGGTAGGTAGTTTGAAGTTACCCAGAGGCTCTGTGGGAGAAATACCAGGTGATCTGTTTCCATGAAGTTTACAGCCTAGAAAACCCTCTGGGACAGTTCTACTCTGTCACATGGGTCACTGTAAGTCAGAATTAACTCTATGGCACCCAACAATAACAACCCACCACCAACAATAACAAAAAAATTCTCAAAAAACTACCATCTCCTTTCACAACTGTTTCATGAAAGAAAGTGTATCTTCATACAAATAGGTAGGAGAGCAAGTCAGTATAAAAGAATACTGGAATAAATTAATTTTTATGAAACATTCACTACTCTGCCCCTACTTTTCCTATTCATCCTACCTGCAGGTGAACAGGTCTCAGGTAGGGGAAAACAGATAGATTCAAAGATTAAAGATTAAAGTTGTGGGAAGAACAAAGAGCAAAGAATGGTGCTGTTTACATATCTTTTTCCCAAGCAATTATTTGCTTAAGAAAAGCCTTTCTGCCTTCATTAGCAAATTATGTAAAATTTGCAATTCAAAAGAGTTTTTCTTTTTGTTTTTTTTAGCTTTCAGAGGAGATAAAATTTAGATAAAGCTTCCCTTCAAATTTGCATTTTGCAGTAATCCGTCAATCATTTACATTTCACAGTAATGAATAGTTAAAAATTATTTGCTAAACAAATAGTTTCTTCAGGCAAAGGAAATTGATTTAGGCACATCTCCTAACTTGGCTACTCATCTTGTGTTTGGATGCTAGCCCTGTCGAGCTGACCCAGTGCTGCCAGAGCTCATATCCAGCTGAGAGAACTAAACTGTATGTGGAGATGGTAACCATGGGAGCTCTGGTGATGTGGTACCTAAGGCATTTGACTGCTAACCAGAAGGCTGGTGGTTCAAACTCACCAGCCACTCCTCAGATGGACTACTGGCACTATGCTTCTGTAGAGATACTGCCTTGGAAACCCAAGGACAGGTCACTATGAGTCAGAATCGTCTTGACCACAGTGAGTTCGCTTTTGGTTTTGG